TGGCTGTCAATTTTATTGGCCAACCTTTCGACCAGCTCCCAAGTATTACCTCCAACCGATTTACGCGATTTATAAAATCGTTCCCGAGATATCAATTGGCGATCCTGCAATTATGATTTTGATGGAACGCAAGTGCCAATGGAAGAATCGATCCAAAGGTGTCAACGGATTAGATTTAAATTACAGATCGAGTTTTCTTTCTTTCTTTCTTGATCGATCGTTCTCATGTTACGCAAAGTATGCGCGTGCAAGAGAAGTGAGATTTTTGTCCCGATACGTTTATGGATACGCGTAATGATTTAGTAGCGGTCGTGCGTCTCTTATCCGAATCGAATGAGATCGCAAGGATCGAAGGAAATTTTTTTGTTTTCTTCTCCTCACAATAACGTTACGGATCCTACGGATAATGAAATCGATGAATCAGCGAGATTACGTTGAATAAAGAATATAGGTAGTTTGGTATCAATTATTTTTTCATCTTTCTGACAAACGTATGAGATGATAACTATTACGTAAGTTATATATATGTATGTATTTATGAAGGCTGTAATTTCAGAGGTAAAAATTCATGTAGATATTTTATCTTACCTTGCCAAAAACAATTAGAATTTAATGTCTAATTAAAGGAAAAAAAAAAAAAAAAAAGATGATACCTACGCGATGATACCCGCGAAAGAAGAAAATAATAGATTGTTTATGAATGTCATAGGAAAATACAAACGTAAATATACGCTAATTTTACTAAAATACATAACCAGTAACCATATTTGAATTAGTTATATTCTGTATATCTAATAGCTGGTTTTGTTCTGCTTCAGTTTCCTATCCGTGGGCTATCGGAGATACAGACCGAGAGGAAGAGATATTTAAATCGAGACCGCGAATCCTAGTGTTCGCCACCGGTAATATTAATCATAATTGTGAAATCCGATCGAAACGCAATCGAGTAGCCACGAACTAGAGAATCAAATAATGAGATACGGGAACCACGACTAGCCGAACTCCATACAAGCTTTTTGACCAACTTTGAAATCGTTTGCCTTCGATCAGTTCTTCCTGACAGGCACATTTGTGCGTTAGAAAGAGATAAAGGGAAATAGAGAAAAAGAGATGGAAATAGAAAGAAAGGGAAAGAGGAGAAACGTGCCTGTAGGCCTTTGAGAACTTGCCAAGGATGTGTATGCCTTCTATATTTCTTTCCTTCTTTATTTTCTTTACTTTTATTTTATTTTCTTTATCTATTTCTCACTTTATCTTTCCACGATGATGAAGATGCAAGAAATTTGAGATAGCAATCTTGCCAAAGTCTCTAAAAGAGACTGCTTCGGATGCAAAACTCGAAGGAACGATGTGAAAAGACACTTATGACGAATCCTTGCGCCTTTCTTGGCACGATCGAGAAAGGAACGAGAACTGAACTGTCTTTCGAGAGTCATCCGACCACCAGATTTGCTAAGAAGATGTCTTGGATGCTGTAAGAGAATTTGACACTTCAATTCGTCCGATTGCATAACGGTGACGTCTTCATAAATTATTAGAACGAAACACGTGTGTAAGTATCTCGATATCATTTATCTCTTAGAATCTAAGTCCAAAATGATTTTTAATAAATTTCGGACTATATTTTCGTTTAAAACAGAGAGATGCTTGTTTCTCTATTCGAATAATAAATGGATGCTCGCGTTGCATGCAAAGGCTCGATTAATTGGGATTCCAGGGAAGACATTTTTTCGCATTCCGATGAAATTAATTCTTCTTTATAGAAGTATTTCAAACTTTTAGTTTCTTTTGGATGAAACTATAACGATAGGAAAGTAATAGTTGTTATCACCGGTGAGTACACAAACCAGAACACGCTGGTAACGCAGTATCCGTTAGTCAGCTTCTCTTCTTCTTGGTGGTTGCTAACAAAGGCAGTAGACTTTTCTGAAAGGCTGCTTTTCAACATGAAATATTCTCTCCCTTTCCTTTACTCGTAGATTGCAGCTATGTTCCTAACATTCTTCCTCTTCATCTTTCGAGATAGAGCAAGCGATGAACGAGTAGACGAGGGCATTAAGTCCGATGCGTGGCAAACTCCTGGATGGATTCTACGCATATAAGTATCCCTGAATCCATTTCTATCCATGTGTGGACTATCGTATAAGTGTGAGTGAGGTTTGCCGAGGGGATAATAGTATAATGGATGGACAGGGACAACGGACTAACGGATGAGACTGCTGTTTTCGAGATTCCCTTTCTCTCTCTCTTTCTCTTTCTCTTTTCCTCTTTCTCTTTTCCTCTTTCTCTTTTTAGTCGTAGGAAAGAAGCAATGAACGAACGAATGAGCTGCCTAGTATCGGTATTATTCCCTTTTGTAGGTTAATTGGCATCATTGTTGTGCATTGTCGAAACGACTACGAATAATTTCGTCCACGAGATTAACGAATAAAAGCTGATCGGTATATATCTGACGAAAAGAAAAAGAAAATAAATTAAAAATGGAAACCATTTTCTCTTTCTCTTTCTTTTTCTCTTTCTAACTGTTTCTCGGATGACAAGCTAGATCTAAACAATATCTATTCGATATGAATGAATTGTTAATTATGTTTTTTTCTGGTAGATTTTTTCATCTATTTATTTTTTATCTTTCAACGCCAAGATATTTTCTGAACGCACAAATTTAGAAATGTTTGGAAAAATTTGTAAAACCCGTAGTTGTCCTGGAAATTGATATAATTCCTTCAGACGTATTATATTATATTATTATATTTGCTTCTTTATACGGTCTAACGATCCTCGAGCTCATTTACCTTTACGTAACTCTACGAACGTGTTAGGTTTTATTTAATAGGATAGTTTTCACTTGGAGAGAAATTTGCTATCGTAAGATAGAGGAATTATGTTTAAAGTTATGTGGATATGGAATTATTTGCATACTGATCGTGAAACCTAAGTCTACGTGCTTATAATATTAAAACTTTCAGAATCTCATTATGCATAGTTTTAACCATTACTAACTACCAATCGATGAAGAAAAAAAAGATTTTCTTAGATAATAGCATTTTTATTCGAATATATACACAAAATTATAATAAAATTTAAATAAATCGACTAATTTCGTTCAATACATTCCTGTACATAATTAACTAAATATTTTCTATATATTATAAATTTTAAAAAATATTTAATATTATTATCAGATAGTTTATATCTAATTTATTATCAAATTATCAGGTTTCTATCGACGAAAAAATAAAAATATTGTGATGCTAGTAAAGGTAAAAAAAAACATATATTATGGTAAGAGAAAACGATGGTCACGTTTTATCGAATTTTTTACATTCTCCGATAACCATAAAAATGTATTCTCTCCATCTCTCTCTCTCTCTCTCTCTCTCTATATATATATATATATAAGCGGAATTGATTTTAAAAAGACCGATCTAGGGTGATAGGGCACCGATTATCGAGAGCAAGCTTCTTCGGTTGAGAGTTGTATGCCGGCAGTGATTAGACTACTCCGCCAGTTGGAACGCGGAAGTCTTTCGCATAACGCTTAAGCAAATGTCTTGTAGACGCATAGGAGAAGTTGCATACCGTTGCCGCCACCGTCACCACCATCACCATCACCACCACCACACCAACGCCAACGCCAACACCAACACTAACACCAACACCAACACCAATACCAACACCACCAACAACGACAACGACAACGACACGATGGCAATGCCGCGGGCAGTTAGAAACTTTGACATTCTAAGTCTTAGATTTTCTCACGACTTTTGCCATACTAACGGGAGCAACTTTTCTCTTCCTTCGTATAATATATTTTTATCTTATCATATTTTAATAAGATGCAAGAAAAAAAAAGTAACGATCGAATATCGAAATCATTAATTGAATGTGAACGCATTAGATTTCTTGGATAATTTCAAATCTGTAAGTTTGACAAAATATATAAAAACAAGCAATTTTGGTATCGTATTGATACGTTGCGTTCACGTACAAAATACAAGGACGATATGAAAATCAAAAGTTATTGCGTAATAACCATGAAAGGGAATGATCCGTTCGTTGACCCCATGTCCACTGATAGAACTCATTCGACACGCTTTATTTTGTACGTTAATTATATAAAGGTCAGGGAGAGATCATCGGCCGATTTAGGTTGGGACGCTGGACGACGTCGTCTACTTAATCGGTCAATTGCTTGTCATTGACACACAAAACCGTTGCTAACGACTATGCCGATAGCTACGAAGACGATTCAAAGTATAAGTATTAAATATCTACTATTGAAATCACCCGTTCTTATGATTAAAAAGATATTATTTCAGTGTATGAAAAGGAAAAAAAAGAACCCTTTAAAAAATAAGAAAAATAAATTAGAATATAATAATGATTATAACATCTCGATCAGATCAGAATGTAAAAAGCACAAGTATCTATTTCCACCGTAAATGTCGAACTCGTCCGATCCATAATCGCCGTTCCAAATTTCAATTTATCCAATAATTAGACCTATTATCGACTTTAATTATAGAATATATGTTACACAGCTGTTAAATACTAACGATCTGTTCATTGAAATATTATAGCATTAGCATTATTGGTACTCAAAACATAATCGAGTTACATAGAATATGCGAAAATAAATATAAATGAATGATAATAGATAGGGAACAAATGTAATAGTATTTTCTAACAAGTGCCCGTATATTCAGGAAGTAACAAAGTTCTTACTTCGTCCTCGACAATTCACCATATTACAATTAATAACCAGTGGTACTATAGAAACCAAACCTGGTAGATATACAATCACGAACGTTCGAATTTACGAAACGAGAACAAAATATATACTCGTAGACGAAGCTTGATCTCTCGATCCTTCTTCGATCGTATGTATAGACAGATGGAAATAGGTATGATGGAGGAGACGGGGAAAGGCGGGGGCGGGGGCACCTGTGTTAAACTAATAACGTCGATAGTTTAGTAGTAGATTTGTCGAAGCTTACCTCGCTCTTGAGATTCAATGGCACGTCGTAGGACGCGTCCAACTCGGCTTCCGTTTTCACCTGATGAGACAGCATGCTGTGGCTGTGCCTAGGCGGTACGGCGGTGGCCAACATGTTGGGATGCTGCAAATGCTGAAGACGCGGTGCCTGGAGATGGGGTTGATGGTGATAAGGCGGCGACAATTGGGTGTTCAGAGTGCGAAGATCAGCTGGAGGGGAAGCGGGCGCAGCGGTACTGCTCTGTTCCTCCTCGGCCGAACCCTCCGCCATGTCAGCCTTGCATGCCGGGGACTCGTAATCTGCAAATCGACCAAAACTCTCTGAGGACCGATCTAATAGCGTACGTACACCGCAATACACGCTCTACGAGCTACACCCTCGCTTCTCCTCAACCCTTCTCAAACCCCCACTACTATACCTCGCTAGAAACGCAATTCCATAATAACTCCCTTTCCAGAGTTTCGTGTCCAAGATTCGATCACTCTACAAAGACAGAGAGCAACAGAGAGGGAGAGGGAGAGAGAGAGAGAGAGAGAGAGAGAGAGAGAGAGAGAGAGACTTCGATTAACTGTCTCTTTCTTATATACACCTAATGTGTTTTTAGTATTTCAAACGTTATGGAAATTATAGAGCAAAAATACTTTTGATTTATGTTTAATTAATTAGAAAATCATAATGATCGTGTTCGTTTTGGAATAACACGAATTTTCGATTGTACGAACTATCAAGGTGAATATTATTATAAAGAAAGAAAGAAAAAAAAATCTAAACCGTGTGTGCAAGGATATTGCTTAATGGACAATTCTTGTAATAGAAAGTAATAATGATCTAGCACGATGCTGGCCGTTCCAACAATTACGCTCGGAGTAACGAGATTCCTGGCTACAATACCTAACTGCGTGTTGATATATGATATGCCGATGATGATTCATTTGCGTAAAACGGCCATAACCGATAATGAATAACGTTAGTCAAGCGATAATACGACGTGTTGTTTTAGTCGTTTCGTTACAATCGAACGAACCGTAATGTATATTTTGCGAGACTCACTGTGGAATCTTATTTAACGGACATTCACTTTTCGTTACAATTCGTAATGAAAACATTTCTAAAGTTCCATTACGTTACAAAGAAACTAACTATTCTAAATAGGACGTTTTACCGTGGCCCACGACTCACGTTAAAAATATCTCTGATATTGTATTCGTTCGAAATAAGAAGAAGAAGAAGAAGAAGAAGAAGTAGAAGAAGAAAAAACAAAAACGATGAAAAAAAGAAAAACGAAAACAAAGCTCCAATACTCAAGCAAATAAGGAAAATCTTTCTAAAGTCAACTGGATGTCCTAAAAAAATCTTCAAAAACAATTTCGACGAGTACAACGGTTCGCTCTTTCTCGACGATCTCGACGACAAAAGGAGGACTTGCGTAAACACGACGATACTAATTAAGCACGAGAGAGAGAGAGAGAGAGAGAGAGAGGAGTCCGCGCTAGAGGCCGTATCGAACTGCCGAGCGTGCAGCTGTTAAGAATGCAGACGCTGGAAATTAGAAGCAGCTCGTTCATCTTCCGACTTCAAAGCAAAAACATTTGGTCGGGCCAGAAAGCTCGTAGAGTGTAGGAGTGGGAGACGAAAAGGGGTTGGAGAGGGTGAACGAGTGGAGAGAGGAATAGGAGGAGGAAAAGAAGTAGGAAGAGGAGGAGGAGGAGGGGGAGGAGGAGGAAGAGGATCGAGAATAAAATTGCTCGGTAACACGGTGCCTACAGGCATCTCGCATTTATCCGGGTAATTATTTTTATCTAAGCGCTCTGTTAGTAAGAATTCAAGGGCAATGAAATCACTGTGCCGTCTGGATCGGAACTTTTCTTTCTCTCTCCCTCTCTCTTTTTAAGTTTCCCCCTACTCTGTCACTCTGATCCATCGAAGCTACCATAGGAGAGGAGTCGACATATAGTATAGTCTTGTACCCTCCTCCTCCTCTTCAACTCTTCCTCTCCTTCATCATCATCATCATCTCCTCGAACGCAACTAACATCTGCTTCTATTTTTGCTCTGGCCCAAGTCCAGCGCTTTACTTTTTAAACCATGAGCGCGGACGCCTATGACGAACGGCTGGATGGATCATCGAGCGGAAGCTTCGAGCAAGAAGGACGCGAAGGAAACCAACCGGTTACAACGGACAAATTATTATCAAAGGGTGAGAGAGAATGCTTGTCCCCCACCTCCTCCTACTCCTCCTCATCCCCCCCGTCCCCTTTCTCCTTCTCTAACTCCTTCTACTCATGAACCCCAATCTTCCTCTTTCCTCCACCTCTTCTTCCGGGATTACTTTATATCCAAGCAAAAAGGGAATTTTTATAACGGACCTTGGTAAAAATACGTATTCGAGGCAAGAGCTTCAAGACAATGACAACTTTTTAACGTTGACGTCGTCGTCGTCGTCGTTGTAGTTGTTGTTGTAGTTGTTGTTGTTGATAGAGAAATAGAGGGAGGTTGGTCGATGCCGACAATAAGTTACTCTCACGAGTGTCTCGCGACGCGGATAACGAGCTACCGTTGGTCAAAGCGAGCCGATTTCACTGTACCCACCAACCACACTTTGTGCGATGAAGAGAGCCCAACCGTCGTCGACTGGTTTCTCTTTCGAGTAGTAGGGACGATGGGGAAAAAAGAAAAAGAAAAAGAAAAAAGAAAAAAAAAAGCATTCCTGCCTTACGTTTTCTCTTCAACAATATTTCTCATACGTTCCAATGCGATCTTCAACTAACAATTTCATTTTATTCCAGTTAGTTCTAGCTTCTTCTTTCTTGATATGTACCTCGCTGAATCTTTTCTGATTCTAATTTTGTTATATTCCCCTTGATTTTTTTTTTTCTACCTTTCTTTCTTTCGGTTCTTTCTCTGTGCCTGGATGCTTGCTTGCTTGCTTGCTTGCTAATTTCCGTTGGATTCGTATTAATCGCTCTAGGGTCGCGCCCGTGAAATTACTAGACGCTTTAACCACTGCCTGTCCAAATCGAATTCCGCGGTGATTATTATATCGCGTCCTGAGGATAATGGTGGGTATTCCGAAAGCTAGCCAATTAGTATCGTTGATCTGGGTACTTTAATGAGAGTGCAGTTTCATTAGCCTATCGCGAGCGTTCTCTTGTTTGGATCGAGAGTAGAAAAGAAAGAGAGAAAGAAAGAGAGAAAGAAAGAAAGGAAAGGTGAGAGAGGCAGAAAGAAATAGAGTAGAGAAAGAAAGAGAGAGAGAGAGATGAAGAAGAAATGAGAGGGTTGACTAAAGAGAGGGGATGGAAAGATCTTAAGTCTGGACAAAGAAATCGAAAAAATTATAGCGTGATCGGTCGGACATAGCCTCGGCTTAACTTTCATAATTACTACGTTCCGTTAACGCCAAGAATTCTGAAGATCCCCATATCCCTTTATCTTTTTCTCTTTCGTCCTTTCTTTCTTTATTTCTTTCTTTCTTTCATTCATTCCTTCTTTCTCTTTCTTACGGTCACGAATTTGCGGATGGATTAATCATCGTTAAATTTAATTCACATGTTTTTTTTTCCCCCAACGAATCATTTAGTTCCTCGCAACTTCCCCTATGCTATTTTACTATATCCTACGTTTAGCGTTCTCCTTTTTCTACTATTTCTTTAAAATACGTTCCAGCATCCAAATCAACTTTGATACCTAGTTACCTCGATATACAAAGCAGAATTCCATCTGGCCCCCCTTTCTTTTCTTTTTTTATTTTCTTCTTCTCTTTTATTCGACGCATCTATCTCTACTAATAATTACTGGCGAACGTTTTACAAGAGATGGTAATTAACCCGTTGCGGTTCTATCTTTGGTTGGACTGCTTGTCTTTAATATCAAGCTTATAATAACGAACATCTTCGCGTGTTAGTTTCTAAATAAAATTCTACGAGTTATTATCTGGGTTTATAAATAATATGGATGGGTATATTGGAAATCACGGGAATTAGTAAGACGATTAATTTAATCTACGTTGAAATATGGAATGAATAACATCAGAAAGACTTATCTTGGAATTCTTGTCAAATTTCATCTAACATTACACACGCTAGTATTTTATGATAAAGAAAAAAAAGAAAAAATAGAAAAAAGAAAAGAAAGATAATAAAAATCACGTCGATATTTGATCTATATATAATCGAGAAAAAAAAATGTGAAATATTTATAAATCAGAGTCTTAGAGTACCTTGAATAATAATTTCTTTTAGCTTATCCATCTTCTTCTCTTTTCAATATCACGTTAGAAGCCCCCAGGGGGAGATTATGTTTTCGTATTATCGCTATATCCCAGTAGAATCATTTTGCTTCGAGGACATACGATGTCGAGGAATAAGAGTAGGAGGAGGAGGAGGAGGAGGAAGAAGAGGAGAAGGTGGTGATGGTGGTGGAGGGCGAGGAGGATGATCGTCGGAGACGCATCATCGGCGTACCAACGGCAGCAGTAACAGCAACAGCAGCGTGCAATTAAGGGGGTTGATTGATGTTAATTCAAAGGGTAATTAAGAATGTTGCGCATAAAAATCCGGTAATTTATGGTCATTGGGGATAATTATATGTTGACCAGCTTGTAATTGCAAGCGCTCTGTGGCCTATAACGCGCTCGGGAATTGTGGGTAGACAGAGAGAGGGAGAGAGAGAGGGAGAGAGAGAGTTCGAACCTTGTTGGTACGAGACGATACATGTATGTATAAGCGTATATCTCTCCCTCCCTCCGTCCCTTTAACTCGTTGGTATATGTAACACGTATAGTATGCGTCTTTTCTAACAAGTGTGTGAGTTCTCGCGAGCGAACGTACGCGGATGGAAATGCGCAGGGGATATATGATCTCAAATCGCGGCTTATTATAGGGGCTGGTAGATAAGGTGGGTTTAGAAACAACCATACGCCTCTGGCCTGCAGCAGCAGCAGCAGCTAGTTTCTGCGTAGGATCTCCTTCTCTCTTTTCCTCCTTTAACATTCTCGCCTACTCCCCTCTCTCTCTCTTAGTCTCTTAAATACTAGGAAGACGCTCGAGGCTATAGGTGTGCATAAACCACCTTACCCGAAGCTCCTCTTTCCTTCGTTCAAAGTAGAGAGGCAGAGGATTTATGAGGTTGATTTCTAAAACACCAAAGTCTACTCTGAAAATTTTCGGTTCGAAGCAAATCAAGTCTCGACTGGCTGACTGGCTGGTATACGTTCTTTACCAAGACGAAGACTATCTGGACCACGGTGAACGTTCTTCTTTCTCTCTAAGGTGGGGATAAGGGAAAACTATAAATATCT